GGGGGGGCAGACAGAAGGGCTGTCGGGGGTCTGTGGAGCAGGGGTACCAACGTGACCGTGCTGTCTGTGTATCCTGTTCGCACACTTTTGAAATAAACTGACAGAAAACCAAACCCAAACCTTTTCAAGCCCGTTTGATATCCGCAGTCTGAGCACTGTGGACGGTTTAAGTGTAACCAGAGGCTCTTCTCTGTCGGGTAACTAATGACTTATTATTCTAATGAAGTATTAAACCAGGACTGCATAAGAGCTGAAAAACAAGCTTATCAGGCGTGCCAAACCCATGGCTTTGCCTTACTATTGCCACAGAATTTTCTTCCCTCCTTTTTCCTGACTTCTCGCTTAGAAAGACCAAACCAAACCTTTTTTTGACGCTTCACTTCTAATCCTGCATGTCCTGAGCAAGATGAGTGTTAGGTGATGTGAGCAGCCCCTGGGTGGTGCGGGCATGATGTGGAGCGACAGGTCGGTTGCCTGTTTTAGCCTGGTGAAGGCCCCCGCCATGGCCCCCAGAGGCCGGGCTGGTGTTGTTGGGGGCTGCGGGGGGGCACACGGTGCAGCGGCAAGCTTGGCTGGGGGGTGTGTTTGGAGCATGACTGGGGCTTTTGAGGCGTGGGGGTACAGCTGCCTCTTCGGCTGTGAGATGATCCCACTTTGCTTTGGTAAGACGTGAAACTTTCCTTCCTGTGCTCCAACTGTAGCGTTTGCCCAGGAGCAGCCGTGCCCTGCGTGGAGCCTGCTGCTGAGCAAGGCGTGTGCACACCTGGCTGGGGGATTTTAAGTTCATTTGTGTGTCAGCTACTTCCATGCAGTGGATCTGTGGATATCTTGCTGTAAAGCACAACCTGATGGGACCTGTTCTGACGCTTCATTTGCTTGTTTTAAAAACAATACATTAAAATACTGGAATTTTTCAACACTTTGCTTAGACCCTGCTTCCTGGAGCAATGTACCTGAGGACTTTGGGTTTTATTTGGCTGCTGCCAAAGCCCAGACACAGAGTGGGCAATGATAGCAGGTCCGCTCTTAGTTTTAGGTGCTGCCCTGTACGATGCCACTGGGGTCCCACGGATGCTGCCAGCCCCACCAGGCTGTTGGAGGTGGCGTGGCACCAGGGGTGCAGCTGGCAGGCAGCCCGGCTGGCTTTCTCTGGAGAAAGAGCTGGGCTTTGGGCGCAGGTACTTGGGTTTAGCTTTTGTCAGGTCAGAGCGGTCCCAGGCGGTGCTGGGGGCTGGGCAGGGCTGCTGCGGGTGGGCGAGGGCTGCAGCCTTCGCCGCCGCTCTGGGCCCCTGAGCGCTGTGCAGGCCGAGCTGGGATGCACGGAGGCTTTGCATTACTGCAACGGCTTTATTACTTCCAGCCAGCTCCCCAGGGGTACACGGGTTCTTCAGCTGATGGACAAAGAGGAGGGAGATGGGTTTGGAACAGGACAGCGGTTGAGCATCGTAAATTTTTAATATTTAAGGAATGGACCTTTTTTCTTGCCTTTTGCCTGTCCCCTCCTGCTTCTGTGGGAAGAAGAGAGCAATGAAAGTTTCTTGTGTGGGATTTGCTCTGTGCATCTGTCTGCACAGCATTACAAATACACTTCACCAGTGAGACAGCTGTTAACTGCGTTTTTACGATAAAATTTACTTGCCCAGTTTAACCACAGCGGTGGAAAAAGAAACTTTCATCCCGATGCTCCTGCTTTTGCAAGATTAAATAAGGGTAACATTAAGAACCTGACGAAAGCAGTTGTAGAAAGCCTGTGTTAAGTGAGAGATTCCTGTTGGCTGTTAGCAGGGTTTTCCAGGTGTCCTGACGACTGTCCTACAGCCTGTCCTTAGCCGCACGGCCCGCTGTGTGTCACTGCTGAAGGCGTTGGTGTAGTTGAATCCTCGCTGCTGATTTTCGCAGTCACGGAGGAGCCCGTGCTTGCTCTGGAGTCACAGCTGCAGTGCTTTGCCTTCCCACTGGTGTGGAGGTCACCAGAACACCCTTCAGACTGGTGCGATTCTGCAGCGCAGGTGGTCTGGGCAGGTCCTGATGTCTGTGAACCAGCTCCGTGAGGCAAACCTGGCGTAAGTCAATCAAAGGGCTTGGGTGGTTAAGCAAGGCAAGCAAATAGCAGTAGGAAGGGGAAAATATCAGCTGCCAAGTGCAAGTCAGTATCTTGTGGAAAACAGGGCACAAGTTTCCAGCTCCCAGTGTTCCTCTCCCGCAAATCCTGGTTGTGCTGTGTTGGCAAACAGGCAGGTTCCCGGTTCCTCGTCTGGTTTTGTTGTCCAGCCAAGCCCAAGGTAAGTGCTTTTGACATGCCAATGCCTCCAGTAACTCCTTTCGCAGCTGCTCTTCAATTATCACCTTCTCTCGCTGCCCTGACCGCAGTGGCAGATGTAGATTTGTCCTGAAGATGGAATTTCTCTGTCAAGGCACCGGCTGTTGCAGCAGGCCTCGTGTGTCGGCGAAGAAGCGGCGAGGCAGCTCGGCGTGGTGCAGCTGCTGGTTCTGCCGTTTTCCACATGGCGGGGAAGGGGACAGGCTGTACGGGAGCTTACGGGGATCTGCTTGCCCTAACGACGAGAGCCTGGCTGGTTGGCGAAGCACTAACTGCCCTTGTGACCGTGGCTGGTACGAGGGGAATCCAAAATGGTCCCAGACTTGAGCTTGTCCAAATCCCGCCGACAAGGATGACAACCCGAGACCATTAGCTTAGCTTTCACGAAGAACACTTGCTCCCCTCCCCTCTCCCCTCCCGTGCGAGTGTGGGTGAGTCTAGCGAGAAAAGCATCCGCGGCGATGGGGCAGGGAGCGGGCGCCCTACAGCTCGTCGCTCTCCGGCAGGACCCGCACCCAGCCCTGCGGCACTCTGTTGAAGTCGCGCCGGTGGGACATCACCTCCAGGACGCTCAGGTGATCCAGCTCCACGGTGGCGGGTGCAGAGAAGGGGTCGCTGACCAGTGCCCTGTCGAACGGGGCGGGAGTCCTGCGGCGGGAGAAGAAGCAGAGTTAGCGCGTCGCGAGTGGTGGTGGAAAAAGCAGGTCTGGGTTTGCTAACGCTGAGCCCAGCAGCGATCTGGCAATGCCTGTGATAGGGGATAACCCTCCTCTCCCTCCCCAGGATGCCGTTAGAGCCTCTGCTAGCCCGGCAAGGTGCTTCTCTTGTACAGAGCCAACCTCAACTCGAGCTTTGGCGAGCCTGGAGAGCGAGGTTTGGCGCCTGAGCATCAGTGGCTGCGCAGGGGAGGGAGGAAGCATGTTGTTCCCTTTACCACACAGTCTCTTGATGGGCTCTGCCAACAGCAGTAGAGGTGTTCTGCATGTGAAGGGGGTTAGATTAAGAGAGCAGGTGACAGTGACAAACCCCCTTGTCTTTAGGAAGTGACTTGTCCTCAGCTAATGTGTTCTGCAGAGGGCAAGGCTGATCGTGCTGCCTCCTGATCGCTCTAGCACATGTGCAGGCAAATGTCTTTCTCTTGGCCCTGGCTCCAGTCTGCCTTTTGGGATGGCTTCTCTTGAACTATGACTAACAGGAGGAGCAGTGTGGGGGTAAGGGCTGTCATCCCTTTCTGGAGAAATGTGGAAAAGGACTGGGGAAGTGAGTGCCAGCCCTGAGAAGCCATGAATGTTGATTTTGGAGCAGCACGTGGAGGCTGAGCTACCACTGAGGCATAGCTGGGAATGTTTGCGTTGGGAAGCACTGCTCGAACAGGAGTAACGTGGCACTATTTTGCAACAGAGGAGAAATAAGGGGGGGAAAGGTAAATGAGAGAAGTTTGTGCCAGGACCTTGCTCCCTTCTGCGGAAAGACAACCCTTTTCAAAGCTTGGTTTTCACTCTCTCTTCAGGCAGCACGCCTTAGCAAGGTGGACAAAGGTCTTTGCATCACAGCCTGAACCTTTAAATTGGGGGACAAGTCAGTCTGCTTTAACACATTTGCTGTTGAGATGGTGAACTGGCCCTTGCCCTGTGACCCACGTGAGCTGTGCTGGGATTCACCCAGCCTTAGGCAAGACTGCTGGCTTTTTGCTAGCCGCTTTGTTCCAAAAAAGCTTGTTTTTCCTGCAGTATTTAATGAACTGAGAAGTGATTTAAAAGCCAACAGCTTGGAAGATCATGAAAAAGCCTGTTAAAAGCAGATTGGCTCTCTGAATCTTCATGCCTCAGAGAAGAATTAGAGGAGGTGGCGAGAGGCTTGGTGTTAAATTAGCATCCATCTGTATTAAATAACAGTTCAAGACTTTAAATAGAAAGGCAGCGTGTGAGAGGGGAGAAATGGTACAGGGTAAAGCATTATTCAGAAACATGCCCTTGCTTCAGTCCCTGTCCATAAATAAATTCTGAGGCAGGAACATGGCTAAATGTTGAAAGAAAAGAGCCAAGCGTCTGCAGCAGCTCCTTGTTCTCCCCCTACGGCCCCTCCTTGGATGTTACTGCTCCAGGAAAGCCCAAGATGGCTGAGCAACTGGGAAGGAGACCCTGAGGGAACAGCTGAGCTGCCCCTTTGCTTCCCCATGCTTGCCCGCAGGTTCTTGTCCCTTCTGCTAACCCCACCGCCTCCTCCCTCTCTCCCTCAGCCCCCACTCCAGTGCAGACCAGTGCACCGCCACTCTTTCACTGGTGTGGGAGGGGAAATATGAGGTGGGGGCTGAATGTGCAGAAGCCTTGTGCTGTGCCCCGGGGCTGAGGGAGAGGAGAGCAGCGAAGGGGCGGCAGCAGCAGCATCTCCGGTTCCGGGGGTCGGGCTGGCCTCTGCCCTTCGGGACGTTGTTCCCACGCGGAGGGGTTGTCGCCCCCCACAGCCCCCTCGGCCCAGCGCTCAAAGCGCAGCAGTCCTGTCCCCCGTGACTCAAATCCCACCCCGGTGCAGGCTCAGGAAAGCTGCTGACTGCAGAGACCCAGCACCGTGGCAGACGGTCTGAGGGGGAGCAGTGCTGTGTCCCTGTAGGGAGCTCCAGTGGGAGCTTGCCTACTGGAAGGTGACGGTGGCCAGGCCACCAAGGCTAACGCACTTTCCTCGTGAAAGAGGCTTTCAGTGAGGAGGAGAGCCAGGACCTGAGTTTGCAGATTCCCTGGAATGATGCTTAGCTCTGAAGTTCGGTTCTCATTATTCTATGTTGGGCTGCTGGCACTTTGCTACCACCAGATCTCCATCTCCTGGATCCCCACCAAGCAGGATTTCCCTTGGCGGTCTCCAAGGTCCCAACTGCCTCGGAGGTCCCAACCTTGACCCCAGTATAATTGGGAGGTATGAGGAGGCACCACAGCCATGCTCTGTTGGAAGCAGCCACAGGGCATGGAGCTTGCCAGGCTGAACCAGCAGAAACTCCCCATCCTGGAGACTTCAATCTCAAGCAGGTGTTTGGAAGGAATTTGGTGACCTCTTAGCACCTTGTGGGAAGATTAACCTTACACCCCCACCACTTCCAGCAGCTGCTTGGATACCTTGAGGAAATTGGGAGAGAGACTTGGCAGTGCCTGTGCCATTCCTCCACCCAGCCCAGAGCTGAGCCCAGCTGGGAACAGCAGCGATTTCTTCTCCAGGACCACATGCATGAGAATTGGTCCTCCCAAATTTCATCCCTGAGGCTACCCAGTGAGATCCAGCTGCTTAATGCTACGCAAGACCAGTGGTGGAGCTGAGAGGAAATCTGGGGAGCTGCTGGAGGCAGGGACCTTTGCAGAAGAGCCATGGAGGAGCTCCTGAGCAGGAAAAGAGCACCCTGAGCCCTGGCTGCTCCTCTGTGGTGTATACAGAGGGCATGGACAACTGCGTTTCTCTGGCAGGATGGTAAGTGCTTCTGGAGGCTGAAGGGCTTGGCCAAGGGGTGGCTGCTCCTCAGCCAGCATTACCTGTTGAAGCTCCTGAAGTCCCACAGAGTGGGTCTCGCAGGCAGCTCGTTCTCGCCGTGCACAGCATTGTCCTTGTCACCGAGGAGCTCCTGCCACGGGGATCGGTAGCCCTTGGGGATGGCGGTGACGTTGAACTTCTCCGGGGGGATTTCTTTGAGGGGGCCCGAGTACCCTGCACAGGGGGAGAGATGGGGTGGGCTGCTGTGGCCACAGCCAGGCTGGGGCGATGTGTCAAGCAGGGGAGAGGGGTCTGGGAACAGCCCTGCCATCGCACAGCCATGGAGCACCTGCTGCTGGGGGCAGGATTACACCTATATAACATAAATATATATTTATTTATATAAAAACTCTGGGGGAGAGCTTTGGGGAGGACACCTCTGCAGGCAGCAGCTCGCTGCCTCCAGCCCCACATTGCTGAGATTACGACAGTGTTGGACTTTGGGGTGTAGGGGGCATTTACCCGGGGCCAGAGCGTCAGGGTTGAGGACTTTGCTCATCCGCAAAACTTTCTCCGTCTTCTTGGGCACTTCAGGGGGGCCGCCCTGGGGCGATGCTGCCACGTGGAGCTCGGAGTGATAACTCTGCTGGCCCTCGGCGTCCTCCCCGGCCTGTGGAGGGGAGAGTCAGCGGGCACCCGGAGCTCCCCCTGCCCTAGTCGGGACTCGGGAGGCTGTCAAAAGCACCTTGGAGCTTCCTCCACCTACTCACCGTCCAGTCGTTTGCCGTTCCCTCTGGGCCACCTTTCTCGGTGCGATGTGAGCCCCCCGGCCCTGGGAGCTGGAGGAGGCAAGGAGAGGGGTTAGTGGGTGCAGAGGGGGACTGGTGCCATCTCCTAGCTCTTTGGTGGATGCTGAACCACCCGCACGCCCAGCACACCCAGCCATCTCTCCTCTATCTCTGCCCCCTGCTGCCCTGCTGAGAGACCCCTCAGCCCCACCAGCCATCGCTTCCCTGCAAAGGCTGCGAGAGCTGGGGCAGGGCTGTCCCGCTCGGAGCCAGGCGATGAGCCGCAGACCCACCTCCCTGTAGCCTCTGGGATGCTCAAAGATGAAGCGCTGCATCCGCCTCTGGCGCTGCTGGAAGAGCTGGGAGCCGCGGTTGTCCCGCAGGGAGAGCTCCTCGATCATCAGGTCCTGCGGCGTGCTCACCTTCTTGCCCAGGTCCAGCCGCGGCACTGGGGAGGTCAGGGGAGAGCAGAGCCACAGCTGAGGCTGCTGCAGTGCTGGGGACCCCCGTGCCCAGTGCCAGGACAGCGTGTCCATTCCCCAGGATCCCTGTCATGCAGCTCGGCCATGCGCCTGCGCTGGGATCTGCACCAGGGACTGGCACTTCCTCGGTGTGGGGAGTTGTCAGGGAGTTGTCAGGGAGTTATCTCTGCTCCAGAGGATCCCACAGCCTCTTCTGACTCTGTGCATGGACCCCTCCAGCCTTCGACATGCAATTGCTGCCCCTTGGGGCTGTAGTGCAAGAGGGGACCAAGAAAGCAGGCACAGGGAGTGGGGCCAGTGGCCTTAACCAGAGCTGGAGCTGGTCTCCAGGTGGAGGGGCAGCAATGCCCTGGGACGGGTGGCAACCCCAGCCCCCTCTTACCGTCTTCAGGGACCGGTCTCATGATGGTCATCACTTGCTGCTGCGCTCCTGGGGCAGCTCTGTGGGAGGGGGATGGATCCTGTCCAACCAGAAGAGAGAGGCAGCCTTGGGGTGACACCAAGCATGGGGATGCATCAGCCCCAGGCGTGCTGTGGGGAGAGGCCAGGCTTTGGCTGAGCATCTCCCCCAGAGAGCATCATCCCTGAGCAGCTCTCCTGGCCAGCATCACCCCTGAACACCTGCCCTGGCCAGCATCACCCCTGAACACCTCCCCTGGCCAGCATCATCCCCTCGCTACTCTCCATTCGCTTCAGTAAATGTAAGGAAATGTCCAAATCATGCCACTCATCAGCCCCTGCTTGTTGTGTTTTCTCTTTGCCTTTCTTTAGGGCAGAAAATGTCCCCAGTTCTGTCCTTGCCTGCAGCAAGCTGGTGTCCTTGTGTCCTGAGCCCCCTCAGAGCAGCTGCCCGCAGCCTGACAGGCGAGCAGGGGCCCTGCCTGCCCCCCCGCCCCCCAGCACCTCTGCCTCAGCAGAGCTATTTTCAGCTGCTGGCACCGAGGGTGTGGGGGCTGCAACCCTGACCCTGCTGGGGAGCTGGTGAGCCCAGCCAGCAGCGAGGCAGGGTGCAGGGTCACTGTCCCCACTTATGGGGCTGGGTTGCTCCTTAGCTTCCAGCTTCATCGTGGGGAGGCAGCTGGAGACCAGCCCTGGTCTGAGCCCCCCAGGCTGCCCACCCACAGCAGCACCCTCCTGCGTGACTGGGGTGTTCAGCGCGGCAAGTACAAGGCTTGGTCCTGTTGGGTACGTGTCACGTCCCTCGGCTCAGCCTGAGGCACCTTCCCCTAAGAGCCCTGGAGAGCAGGGGGTCTCCATGAGGACAGGGGTGCCTGTCACCCAGCTCCCTGCCAGCTCTGAGTTCAACACTAACCACCCACACGGCGAGCCTGGGACCTGCACCCCATACCCCCCTCCAGGGAGACCATACCCTGACCCCCATGGTGGTGACGTCCCCACCGTCAAGGCTGGGATGTCCCCAAGCCCTGTGCATCAACCCACCTGCTGACCCCGGCATGGCACCTCATCTCCCCTACCTGGTCAGGGACTGATGATGGTCTCCTGCTGCGCTGGGGATGAGGCCAAAACCAAGCTGCGGCCACCAGCACTCGGTGGCTCTGGCTGGCCCTCCGCGGCACCCCCGGGCTCCCTGCTGCTTGCCCCGACCCGTGCTGGGCTCCAGCCCAGATGCCAAGGTCTGGCTGTGGGACAGCAGTTATTTCTGGCTGAGAAAGGGGGCGGAGCAGGGCTGATCCTTGGGGACTGGGCACTGTCACCCTGGCACGGAGCAGGGCTGACCCTTGGGGACCGGGATGCTGTCACCCCGGCATGGAGCAGGGCTGATCCTTGGGCACTGGGCACTGTCACCCTGGCACAGAGCAGGGCTGATGCTTGGGGACGGGGATGCTGTCACCCCGACACAGAGCAGGGCTGACCCTTGGGAACTGGGCGCTGTGACCCTGGCACAGAGCAGGGCTGACCCTTGGGGACTGGGATGCTGTCACCCCAGCATGGAGCAGGGCTGACCCTTGGGGACCGGGATGGTGGCATTGCAGCAACAGCAGGAGGTGGCCATGTGCCATGTGTGCCCAGGCCACCTCGAGGACGAATCGGAGCCAGGCTGGGTGGGATAACGGCAGTTTATTTCGGAGGTGGGTGCACAACTGTGTGGCAAAGGCAGGTTGTGGTGGCTGGTGGAGGGAGGAGGGGGCTGTGTCCTGGGAAGGGCAGGCTGCAGGGCAGGGGACAGGGATGGGCTGGCTCTGACAGTGTGTCCTGGGGAAAGGGAAGGGGTGACAGAGGCTCCCTGAATGGGGAACATGCCAGAGTCCTGTCAGCCCAAGCACATCCTCCTTTCTCGGTGTTGGTCTTACCAGCACCAAGGCTGTGGCCTCTGGGTGAGTGACTGCGGTCCTGCTGTAGCATCTCCTGCCACCCCAGCTGGCTCCTGCTCGCCCCTGGGTGGGGACAAGTGCTTTGGGGACTCATTGCCCTCCTGACCACCCACTGCTCTCCCCGGACTCTGCCACATAACCCTGACGCCCTCCTCATCC